AATCCAATCACTACCCGAGATGATCAGTAAGTAGGCCTAGCAGCCTTACATTGTAACCAATGTAAACTACCGCTCGCTCAGCGAGCCAATCCCAATCCAACATTTTTGGGGTCCACCTAGACACCATGACTACGTAGACCCCAATCGGGGAGTACGTAGACATTTCCTTTACTTTTTCCAGTGAATCGAATTTAGCTTTACAATAAATGGAACAGTGCCAATAACTTGCTACCTCATAGTTACACCGTTCTGTCTGACATTTTCACCGTTTTGAGTTATTACTGCTCTATCAAAATCGTAAGATTATTCGGAGTCATTATCAAGATTTTCAATGAATTGCATTTTAAAAACTTGACATGATGTGAAACTCAAAGTCTGTGACGTCAAATTTCTCAAAACTAGGTACGGTGCAGGTAGAACTTTTTAATTCTGAGGTAGCGAGCTACAATAGAACTTTGTAATTCTGAGGTAGTGAGCTACAATAGAACTTTGTAATTCTGAGGTAGCGAGCTACAATAGAACTTTGTAATTCTGAGGTATTGAACTACAATAGAACTCCACCGTTTCAGATCGATGCCGCGCCTGGACAAAGAGACCGAGTCTCAGATCACCCACATGCTGCTCAACTGGGCCAAACTTCCGCCCAAAAACATGGCCAAGTTCCAGCGCCAGGTGAGGTCAGTCTGCTTCTACTACAGCAAAATCTCCGTCTTTGAGATGGATGACGTTAACTCGACCACGGACATCGATCTCGCCATCATGAATTCCATACTGCAAGGTACGCCTTTGGACGTTATACAATAAATAACTAAATACTATCAATACCACTGTCATTCCTATTCTCAAATCAGGCAGAGACTACACATATTATCCATCCAACTTTTTAGATGCCAATCGCCTTCAATAGCTGGCTGTGTTAACTTGGCGAAAAAAAATCGGCAAACGGCTCATCGTCGTCGTGACAAGATCAGTTAAGTGACATCTGGTACATTTTTCAGGAGAAGGAAAAATCTGATTTATTAAAAAATACGGCTTGAAGTTATCCGATTTTTATACTGTTTAAAAATCACCCTTTTGGCTGTCTATTTGAATATATTTGTTTAACCTGCATGGTATGAAACTTGCTCTGCAGAATACACTTTGCCCCTCTCAAAAAGATGCAAAATCGAAACTCTTGTGGTTATCTGATCTAATCATGATGGTGATGTCACGTAGTTTGTTCAGACGACGAGCTCGCTGAGCAATGTCCGGTGCGGATTGTGGAAAACTCGATTCACTCTAGGTTATCCGGTTCACCAAGAGACCTTTACCAATAAGCGTGACATTTCGATACCCGGTACCTAGAATGACAAAATTCTATGACATTTTAGGCCATTTTGAGTTACAAGACCATGATGTCAGAAACCAAATATGGTACGTCTGCTCTATCGAAATCGAAAGATTATTTGAAGTCGTCATCAAGATATTCAAAGAAAAGCATTGGAAAAAGCCTAACATGTTTTTACGTCAAATTTTTCCAAACTAGATACTGAGCATATAGAGCTTTATAAATCAATGGTAGTGATTTAGTTTGTCGAAGAAGGCTACAAGATCACCATTTGTTTCGACCCCCTAAAAGCTTTTCACACAACCTGGAAGTGTGGAATTCTTCAAGACCTGCACATTCTCGGCCTATGCGGTCATCCTACTGTCTTTCTTGGCAATTTTAAAGATAAAACCGTTCCTTCCAGATTCGTATCGGATCTGTTCTCTCTCCTATCTTCACCAGCAGGAGGAATATGTTCCTCAGGGAAGCATCCTCTCTCCCCTTCTCTTTGAAATTAAAATAAACTCTATCTGACCCTCCAAAAGAATTGTTATTATTCTTATACACTGTGTATTTCACGACTCATAGCCGTTATTATTAAGCATGTGATTACTTGTTAGTTAATTGATTGGTGAAATGATTTTTTTCTCTTGATTAACTGAATGATTAATTAAATATTGACTGGTCAGCTGATTGATTGACTGATTACTTCTGACAGATTCCAACAACTTCGAAAAACAGCTTGAACTGGCCATGAAGTGGAACAGACCTGATGTCGCCAAAGAAAAGATCCTAACTGATGAAGCAAAGAGAACAGGGGTAAGGTTGCTTTATGAAATGTTGATCTCTAAAGGCCACTGCACATGTTCTTTCCAACCTGGCGGTTTTAACAGGAGTGGGAACCAGCATTGAAACCACCACGCAAAACCGCCGTTAGACGGGTCGGCGCGTCATCCATATCACGTGTGGTTTAACCGTAGCTCAAGTCAAATTTTAAAAAGGCGGAGAGTACTGACGATGGCGATTTGCTTGCAGTTTATATGTTGCTCTTGGTGAAGAAAAAGAGAAAGTGTGTTCTATACTGCACATTGTGACACAGAGGCCAAACCTATACTGAACCCTTTCAGTGAATGTTTTATTATGTGGGAATTTTTAAAATCTCTTTAATTATTGAAAAAAAAAAAATTCTGCCCGAATCTTGCCTTAAAATTGGGTTGCTCGTTAAAAAAATGTAATCAGATTTTATGTTCGGTAAATCATTTTGAAGATATTGGCAGTGACAGGATAAGCCGGCTAAGCTCGTGACGTCACACAAATGCTGTCGTCGACGGAACGCGCTGAACTTTTAGTAGTCAGAAAACTAGTCAGAACTGTAGTCCAAAACATGTTGAAACCGCCGGTTCAGCTTCCTGGTTTAACTTTTTACTTACAGTTTTCCTTCCACATCTGCGGATCTGCTGCCAGGTTTGCCTTTCCATTCAGAACCGGCAGTTTGGAACGTACATGTGTAGCCGCCTTAACCATTAGCCAAGTTCCCGCCACATAATGCTTCCCCAACGTATTCCTCGTACTGTGGTACAGTCTGGAACAGTGTTAGTTCACCTGCTTTTACCACCTTTAAGAGGCTGACATTTCTGTACTGCATACCAAGATGTATTTCCAAGCGATGCATTAAACAAAACCTGTCTCTGCAGCTGTGCCTCAAAACTTACGGTGTTGAAGTGAGGAAAATCTGTGTAAAGTGCCTTTCCCAAGGACATGTCAGGCCCCTGACGGGATTCGAACCCATGACCTTACGGTTGCGACTCCGAGAGACTAACCCCTAAAAGCCTTGTAATTAATTCCTGCGTCATGATGATGCATCTGATGTGATGTGTACATTTTGTCAGCTTTACTTCTCTTTTCATCTATTGAATTTTAATGAAAGTAATATATAATATTTTTTTAAAATGTATATCTGCTTACGTATTTATGGTCCTGTAAAGCCAAGAAACATTTCCCTCAGGGATAATAAAGTACTATCTTATTCATCTTATCTCTTATCTCATCTTATCTTGTCTAATCTTATCTAATCTTACCTTATCTTATTTTTTTATATTATGTTATCTCATCTCATCCCATCTTATCTTATCTCATCTCATCTCATCTTATCTTATCTTATCTTATCTTATCTTATCTTATCTCATCTTAAACCTATAATGTTCTTTTTCCCATGACCCCAGTCGCTGAACTCCCACATCCTTCGCCGTCTTATGCTGGACGCTATCGCCAGCAACAAAGTGCAGTTTGTGGAGCTGTTCCTCTCCTTCCGGGTGGATCTCAACGAGCTGCTCACGTGGAACAAGCTGACAGAGCTCTATCGGGACAAGGTAAATTGTGTCACGGCGCGGTGGAATCAGACGCTCGTCAATTTTTGGTCATGTGGCGTTGCTGGTATCATCTAAACGCTTATTCATTTGCAGTACTTTCAAGAAAAAAATACCCTTCTATCTTGAATAGAAGTCGAGATATTTGAGATCGAAGGAGGTGGGGGTCAACTGGTTTCAGTTGTAAAATTGCCGAGAAAATGGCCGCCAAAGTAAGGTAACTTCAATAGCTTGAGAGTCGTTGAATACTGAAAAATTACATATTTTGTGCCTTTAATCAACATGATGATGATGACGATGATGATGATGATGATGATGATGATGATGATGATGATGATGATGATGATTTTTTTTGTTTCCTTAATGAGCCTGACGGACTTCACGAAGAAATCTTCGAGCGAGAGCGAGACTCTTTTTCGGCTCCATTGTCAGTATGCTTAGCGGCACCTCCACTCATCCTAATAACTCTATTCGAATTGCCATTGTACCTGGACATTGAAACATATGTTTGATATCCTCTTTTTCATGGCCGCATCTTC